GTAGTAGATCTCTAGACCCAGATAAAGTACATAACATTTGCTTAAAAACACTTTTTCAGCTTCTGCCATCAAAACAAAGTTATGTTTTTCTGTGTCGGAACACCCAAGTTCATTTAACTTTTGAGGGATGCAACCTTATGCTTAGGTATGCTGTTGATGGGGGTCACCACAATGTCTGAAATGGTAAAGGAGATCTTTAGTTTCTGTGGTCAATTAGAAAATATGTGGCTGTTACTGTTAGAGTTGGCTGATAAGCGTATTTCTCACCGCCTCAGGATATTCCACAAAGAAAGGAAGAAAATGCCTTTATTTCAGCAGTGTGTTTGTGCATGCACATGCTTTAAGGAAACCATGTATTTTTCACCTTGTAGTAGAAAAAATAAAGTGGTTTATTCTTTCTTTATAACAGTGAAAAATGAAACCTTGTGGAGATAAGGAAATGCATTACATGTGTCTGCTTTGTGTAGTCCAAAGCACAGATCTTAATTAAAAGTGAAAAAGCAACCCAGGGATGAAGAGAGTTTGATTAATGGTAGCAACCGTGCTGTATAACGTGTTCCTCCAGTGTCTCCGGAACCTCTGTCTTGATAAAACAAGACACGAGTGGAAGGGGAATAATCTTGACCTCATTAAATTTAACGAAGAAACACCCAAGCCACTCAGCCACTCCACTGTGGCAAACTGTGAAGTGACTCAGTGTTTAGCACTGGGTCTTGTCCTCAAGCAAATCCCATGAGTATCTCTTTATCCTTAAAGGATGGAAGGACTGCATCCACAGTTCTTTATCTTAAACTGTTAGGAGAGGCTGTACTTCATATCTCCATTGCTCAAGTACATTCTTCCACTTCAAGTCCCTACCTAGAAAGTCTTTTTACGTCTGCTTTCTCTCCTTTTCCCATACTTGCATGGATTTCCCGAGGCAGTTGTGTTCTGACCCCTTGGATCCAGTCTTCATCAGCTGCCAAGGTAAATTTGGTTAATACTGCAGAAATAGTTTACTGAGGTTTAGACTGAAGAGAGAATAATAATGGAGAGGCAAGAGCATTCCCCTGTCTCTCATCTGTCTCATAAGTATCTAGACGCAGTAACTTTTCAAGAGTTATACTTTCTTGATTTTGTTATTTTCATGAAAATTTGCAAGCCAGGCAGAGAAATTTTTAGAGGTTTTAGCAGAAGCATGCACACACACACATATGTATAAAAAGCATGGTTTTTATATCTATAAATAAAAAAAATCCACTGATGTTATAAAAAATCTGGCAATGTTAAACATGTTCTGTTTGCACATATGGGTAGTCAGAGGCCAAGACTCAATGTTTTTCACTGATGTTGAGCTTAATTGTCTCTAATATACAGTTTAAATTCGTTTTCATTCATGCCACAAGCTGTCAAAAGTGTTATGTTGTTGTCAATATCTAATCAGCGAATGCTTATCACAGTATATATATGTCACCAAGAAGAGTGGTTCTATGTAAGAAATTTCTCATATAGAAAATGTACCTGGATTTTAAAACTGGGAAGGATAATTGTGATGGCCTTAGCAGCTGAAGGCCAGCCAAGGCATCTCTTCCAGGAATTACTTAACCATGAAAGTACAGCAATGACATGAGCATGTTTTCGTGGTTCACTTTACTCACCTGCATTGGACTTCTCAAGTGCCACCTTTTGCCTTAAACCCTCCTTTTCCACATTTTTCTGATCCTGAGGAGCTCCTTGTCATGGGATACCATGGATTATTCTTGGGAAGATGTGTATTGGGTGGGAAGGCTTGGACTTCGAGCATGCGTATTTCCAGGTTTTCCATTGCTGAGGTAGAGCATGACTTCAAGCTGCTTGTAGTGTGCATAAGCAGGCAATGAGTCGGCCACAACAGCATTGCTCTGATGGAAAATAGCAAATACAAAGCCAGTTGCAATATGTGAATTCTGACTGAGCAGAGAAGTGAAGAAAAGGAGTCAGACCTGATCTGTATAGAAATATTGCAAGTAGGTGGACAGGATGCATGAACAGGGTAAGCTGACGGTGGGATAGGTGGTGATTGTCCCAGATGCACATGGGATAATGCAAGCAGGAACATTTTAAGCTGAGTCTAAATGTAAAGCTTTGCACAGACGTGCTCATGCCATTTCCTAGTGGTTGTTAAAGCTTCAGGCTCTGTTTATGCGTGTGGAATGGAGAATTATTTGGGGATAGTTGAAGTTGGGGATTGGGTTTGATTTTTTTGTTGTTTTGATTTCTTTTACCTTGGTTGAACTGGGGCATTGAAAATGTTTCACTGTGTGTTGAATTGTAGACTTAAAATGTTGACCTAAAAGTTTGTAATGACGATTTTGATTTATTCAGAGATTGGAAGTTTGGTAGGGTTTTCTTAATGGAAGCTGGTATTCCTTCATGCTAGGAAAGGCAGAGTTAAAGGAATGAGCCTTAAGCTTGGAGCAGAGGGTAAGGAGATGTGTGATGCTGAAGTTCAGTCCCTGGTCTCAGAAGAGGTCCTGGAGACACACATTCCCCATGTGTGTGGGTTTTACCTTGTCAGGAACCTCCTTTGTTGACTGTAATTGCAGTCAAAATCTGACGCAAACTCCTGGATAGCTGGAGGACAGCTCCCAAGAGAAAGGGGAATGGCAGAAGACTTGAAGGGCTGGGGATGACTTACCCTGTGGAAACACGTATCTCACTATGCTTATCCTGCACAGCAGATCATCAGTCCAATGAGTTAGCAGCTTTCATCGTAGTCTCCACACAGAGGGCAGGAATGGGAAGTCCACAGTATCACCTTTTGGTCTTCATCCATCACCTGAAGCGACTTGCAAACTTTGCTATGTAGCTGATGTTGTTGACAATCCTGCCATTTGGAGGACGAGGAGGAGAACTCAGAGCTGTTGCGTAGTTATTTTCTTCCCTGGGTTTAAAGTGGTTAAAATTGTGTTCTTTTGTACTGTCACGATGTCAAAGATTTGCTGGATTCAGGACAACTGTTTACATTAAGAAATCTCTTGGCGTTTGAGACTCTGGTTCAGGGAAAGTAGAACGCTGTCCTATGGACTCAGAAACATCTCTGACTTCGACACCTTTGCATTTGGTTGCTCAGTGTCACTTTGCCAGCGACAGAATGGGGACCTTTATTTGCTTTGGCCATTGCATAAAAAGCCAGGATGTGATCAAACCCAGTTAATCACTCACAAATGTCTCATTTCTTGAATCTCTGAGGGTGTGTAACACATTTTTGGGACTGCTCTGCTCCTTTGGCTTTTGTTATAAATAAGTTAGGGGAAAATCAAATTTTGAGTTTTCTTAAAAGGAAGCGGAGGAATCCTGGAAAACACTAGGGGTCTGCAAATGTATGTTTAATCATTTAAAGAAATGTCCTTTGGCTAAAAGCTCTTAGCAGTGCTTGCAAGTTGCACTGAAAGCCATACGGCTACATCATTCCCACAACTGATGTGAATTAGCACCCTTGTTGGCAGCGTGAGTGGAGAGATGCAGGCTTAGTGAGTACTAGGAACTGAATTACTCCTAAAGCCATAGCAACTTTGTGCAGTATGGGTGAAGTGCCCTAGGGGTGACTCTGCTGACAGTTACACCAGCTCCTTATACAGTGGCATCCATGGAGAGAGACTCCGGCATGTCCTGTCTCCTTGTTTTCACTGCGCAAAGCATTTGGCTCTGCTATGGAGCCAGGCAGTTACAAACATCTCCTGCAAACACATTGTGCTTAAGGCAAGCAGCAGCAAACCAGAGAAGTGGTTTTTTTACACATGGCATGTGGTGGAACTCCCTGCTACAAGATGTCACAGGGCAAAAAGTACACAGAAGCAGAGGCTTGAGCACATTCATGGTGAATTGGTCTATTCAGAGCTGGCAGTGAGGTGCAGTGACCTGGGTATAAATGGGGGTCACCCAGCCGTACAGAGCTGGAAGCTAATGGACATAGTGGAGGAGGATTGTTCTGTCCTTTCTTAGTGTCGTTCATGTAGATACGTATATGCCTTTAATATTCACCACAGGCTACAGTTGGAGACAGGTTACTGGGTTACATGGATTTTAATAAACCTGTTAGTAGGCTTCTTGCCTCTTTGCTTTAAACATCTAACCCACCCCGAAAACAATGTGGGACTCTGACAATAAGTTGAAAGCTTTGGGGGGATTACACTGCCTTATTGAGTCTGTACCTAAAGCCCTTTGAGGGCTCCCATTGACTCCAGTGGGATTTGGTTCAGACCTCAAGTATATAGGACTCTCTTAAGTAAACTCTTTCAAGGCCCATACATGCTGCAATACTTACTGGGCTCTTTGTTACTTCTGCGAATAGGAATGCGACCTTTACACTTCTAGCAGAGAACCGTGATTTACAGGCCTAAATCTTCACGTTTTGGGAGAGATAAGGTTACCATCCCAGCTCCTCCCAAACCAGCTGTGCAGGTGGCTGAGCAGTTGATGAAGCATTTCCTGAATCACTGCTGGCTTAGATAAAGCACTATGTGTGTAGTACAGCAGCTTCAGAGCTTCTTCATAAGCAGATGTCAACGAACGATGATGGGCAGGGTGGACATCTGGCATTGTAAGTTGTTCTAATTCAAGACTCAAAGCTCTAGTGATATTTTTGCCACTGCAGGGTCATTTTGATATCCATGTTAGAACTTTATTTACTCTGTGCACATACTAAGAATGGCCACAGTGGAAGACAAGACTAGCAATTCATCTAGGTTTCCTTTTATCCGCCCAGTCCCTTGGCCATATGAGGGGACAGAGGGGTAAATAAGATGGAAGAAGATCATATCAGGCTGTACATGGTCTCTTCCCTTGGCCATTGCCATTGCGGTAAGCTGTGTGGTGAATAGCTGAGTCTGAATTGCAATAGACTGCATAATGTGCCTTTCTTGCTTTTGGAGCTGGTCTAGGTTCTGGTAACCTTGCTTCCCAAACCTGTTGTTCCAACAGGAGAACTCGAGTGAGAGGAGCAGTGTGATTGACAGTGCTATTTTCTACCTGTATTTTAGGTCACTTCCTCGGTAACAACACTGTGATTGATGTACTGAGACAAGCAGGATTTGAAGTGGAGCACACCCCTCCTGGACAACCAATTGGAAAGTAAGCAGCTGCCCACAGATTATTGATCACTTTCTCTCCTTTTCTCTTTTTTCTCTCCCTTTTTCTGTGACTAAGCAAGTTCACTGCATTAGTATGGGAAGTGGGTGAGGGGGTGAAGAACCTCCCTTTCCAGTTGCAGTTCCAGACAAAAAGTGCATTGTAAAGCATCTGTTGTGAGTTTGGAAACATATGGAGCTTCAGTGGCTGTTCTGTTTCACTTGGAGACATTATTTGTATCACAGCTGCTTCACTATATCAGGTCCATAGTGCCACAGTTTCTGTTTTCAAGAAACATCTCATTCAGCTCGTATCTCCAAATAACTGTTTTGTCTTTTTAATCCCCATGGAGTTTTAGTCACTTCTCCATTGCAGAGCAGTAGAATGCCACCAACTTCATGTTTTCAGGCCCTTCTGTCAGGTGGCTCTTCTTCAGGTGGATTTCAGTTTTGTCTGAAGGACCACATTTAATGTAGCACCTTGGAAAGTGTGGTGGACAGGTAAAACAGATTCAGTATTCACTGAGCTGCTTCATCTATCTGATCAAGTAAAGCCGGCAGGAAGGATCAATAACCAGGCTCTTGGCGATACTCATTAGTACCAGATAAAACATGGTACAAAATCTTCCTTAGTTGGTGAAACAGACTTCCTTCCCCCCATAGACTTCTCTTTTTAATGGCCATTTAGATGAAATCTCTGTCTAAAGATATCAAAGGCGATAAAACCGTGGGAGGGATGGTGAGAGACCAGCTAGCTTTGCAAAGTTAGCCTTTCCCTTGCATTCTGCAGATAAAAATTGGCCGAGATTGCTCTGTCATAGGATTGTTGTCTTCATTAGGAGAAAAGTGTTAGCAGCATGCTTCTGTCCCTGGTGGGCAGACATGACATGGCCCAAATATGAGGCGAGTTTCAACATGGAGAATTACTGAGGGCTAGTAGACCATGTCTGAAACAGCTATGTTTAATATAGTTGGAAAATCTTACTTATCTAACCTTGTTTGTGAAACATGCACAGTTATTCATTTAAAGTATAATATGGCTCAACTGTACATAAGTGTCTTTGACAGAGCATTTATCCTAAATGCTTCTTGGAGTATGTTGAGCAATAAGAGCGCAGTCTTAAATAACAATGGGGGAAAAGGGGAAGAAAAAGCTATCAAACAGAATTACTCGGAGGAGGTTTAAGAAGCACTTTGGCAGAGGGAGAAAAGTCAACATGGCAGAGGGAAGAGCAGTAAAGGCTGTGACTGACTGGAATTAGAAATTTGGGCTAAAATCAACAAAAAATGCCTGTGTCTTAAAATACAGAGAAATAGAAAAAACAAGCAAACTATACCAAAACAGCTGAGGTATACCATTCCTAGGTTTCTGACAAAGAAACTTTCCGCTCAGGGAGGCAGGCACTTTCCTCAGCAATTTTCATTTAGCTGAAAGTATCATCTTCCCATGAAAAGTATTTCTACTTGGAAATTGTGAAACTATTAATTTATTGGCTGTTTGCAAGCCCTTGAGAAGAAAGAAAGATGCAGTGCTCCATATGGCCTTGGGATATGTCTACACACATCACTGAAGACTTGAAATAATGTTATGGGGCAGGAAACTTGAAACAAAGCCAATGCTTAGTGTTGACTTATTTGCAATGTGGGGCACCTCTGTCTGTGCATTCCCTTGCCTTGGCAGCAGCGTGTCTTATTCATTTGATGTCTTCCCTAAAATTGTCAGTCCTTGGGGGAAACCTACTTGAAAGCAAGTGGACTTGGACTGCTGCCTGGAACAATGTTTTCTAGTTGAGTTATCCTACACTTGGTAGCTTCTGTTCCTAGCTCCAGACCAGAACACTGGGTAGGCTGGTCCCTTTGTCTGGACTAGTGCCCTGTTCCTGTGGGGTCTGTTCTGAACACTGAACGTAGAAAACTTTCTTAAAGGGTTGTGGTGGGTTGAAAGAGCTCAAGGTGAGGACCTTATCACTCCCTACAACTAGCTGAAAGGAGGATGGAGAAAAGAGGTGGCTCATCTCTTTTCCCAAGGAATAAGGGTTAGGACAAGAGGTAACGGCCTCAAGCTGCACAAGGAGATGTTTAGATTGGATATTAGGAGAAAGTTCGTCACTGAAATTGTAGTCAGGCATTGGAACAGGCTGCCCAGGGAAGCGTGGAATCACCATCCCTGGAAGCGTTCAAAAACCATGGAGATGAGGCCCACAGTGACATGGTTAAGTGGTGGACTTGGCAGTCCTGGGGTAAAGGTTGGACTCTATGACCTTAAAGGTCTTTTCCAAGTTGATTCTGTGACATTGGGTGGACACTAGGTGCTCACCAAGCCACTCTGTCACTCCCCTCCTCAGCAGGATGGGGCAAGGGGGAAATAAGATGGAAAAAAAACAACCCTTTGGGGTTAAAACAAAGCAGTCTAATAAAGCAAAAGGAAAGGTCATGCTCAGAAGCAAATAAAAGCAAAAGATTTTATTCTCTACTGCGCATCAGCAGGAAATGTCTATCCACATCCCAGGACGCAGGGCTTCAGTATATGTTGTGTGTGTGTCCCCCCTCACCGCCCCCTTTACCTCTCCTTTTTTCTCTTACCTTGTATTGCTGAGCAGACATCCCATGGTATGGACTATCCCTTTGGTCAGTCTGGGTCAGCTGTCCTGGCTGTGTCCCCTGCCAAGATCTTACCAGCCTGTTGGTAAGGAGGAAATGGAGAGACACAGATGAGAATACAGAAAGAAAAATAAATGGCATGGTAAAGAAGTCCAGAGTTGCCACTAAATTGCATTAATGAAGGTGCAGAAAATAGTAAATTATGGAAAGTTTAAATAAAAGAGAATGTAAATGTATTTGCAGGAAATAGCTTTCTGCCTTTAGATAAAAAAGAGACTCCCAGACCTGAGAGATCAGGTATTGTGTTTTCATTGTCCTACAGCTATAGCCATCAGAAGTGCTGGGGCTGCCTCTTAGAAACAAAGAGGCTGCTGCAAACCATTTTGCCTCATTTTTTTTAGAATAGCTTGTGTTTTATGATTTCTAGGCAAAAGACAGTCTAGTCAGACACAGGTATGATAAAAGTTGATGGCATATTCAGAAAGCACAGCCAGTTAACCGTTGGGATGTTGGGGTTATCTTATGCTCTCATGAGACCCCACCTGGAGAATTGCATTCAGCTCTGGGGCCCACAGCATAAGAAGGATGTGGACCTGAGAGAGTCCAGAAGAGGCCACAAAGATGCTCCGAGGGCTGGAGCAGCTCTGCTCTCAAGCCAGGATGAGAGAGCTGGGCTTGTTCATCCTGGAAAAGAGAAGGCTCCATGGAGATCTTAGAGCAGCTTCCAGTGCTTAAAGGGGGCCTGCAGGAAAGCTGGAGAGGGTCCTCTTACTAGTTCACGTAGTGATAGGAAAAGGGGGAATGGCTTTAAACTAAAAGAGGGTAGATTTAGATTAGATACCTTGAGTGTGGTGAGGCACTGGCACAGGTTACCCAGAGAAGCTGTGGCTGCCCCATCCTTGGCAGTGTTCAAGCCCAGGTTGGATGGGGCTTGGAGCAGCCTGGTCTGGTGGAAGGTGTCCTTGGCCATGGCAGGGGGTTGGAACTGGGTGATCTCTAAGGTCCCCCCAAACCCAAACCAGTCCGGGATTCTGTGTTGCTGTAACTGAGTCTTAAGGAACCTTGCATTTTTGTCTAGCCTTCTTTTTTTGCTCTCCTCTTTCCTTTGTAAAAGATAAAATAAAGACATTTGAAAACAGTTATAAAGGCCCAGAAGAGGAATCATTTTGGGAGAGTGGCTCTACTGACCCCATGTATAACGCAGAATAAACAAGTAGGAGCTCAACCAATTTTGAACTGCTTGCAAGGAGAAATTGTTTCATGGATTGGATTGTAGAGATGCAGGTGTTTTCGTCTTGATTCTTGTGAAGCTGTACATGAAATAAGAAGTATTTTTCTTCTCTGCTGAAACCCAAGAGAGACATTTCTGCTTTGCTTCCAAGTAACTTGTATAAGGGAGTGAAGCTCACTGCATTGCATTCTGGCACTGACAACTGAAAAATTGGATTGTGTTCAGGGAAGATCAGCTGGACTCTAATGTAGAGATTGGTGGGAGTGGAGAAAAATGCAAGGGTTAGAAACCCCTGAAGCAGCTGCATGCTTATGTTTTGGCCGAGGGAATCCAAAAAGTTGTGGATGGACTGTGCAGAGAAGGATGAAGAAGAACGATTTGGGCACATAGGCACATAGGGCTGTTTGGAGGTATATTATACTGAAACTGAGGGTGGGTTTGGCTGAATATCAGTGATTTCTTGACAGTAATTTGCAGGACAGTCTTCTCAGGTTATGTCAGAAGCCCCCTTATTTGAAATGATGAAAGCAACTTTAGCAAAACACTCATATTACATCCTGCTTACTACAAATGTTGCCTTGCCAAAAAAGCAAATACTATTTTTCTGTAATATCTCTGTTCTTATGTTTTATTATTGAAATTATTAGTAGTCTGATCTTCATTGTTCAATCATAATGAAGCAGTGGTACCATAAATAGGTGGGGTAGTGTGGTATGATGCTTAAGCTCTGCCACATCCATTTCAGCTTCAGTAAGAAATAACTAGTACTGTTCCTGAGTATCAGAAAAGCCTTGGGAAGAGTGAAACAGGTCAAAGACCAAAGCTGTTTATTTTTTCAGTTACAACAGGCTGGATAAAGCCAGAAGTTTGTTGGCTTTCTGTGTCCAAAATGCTGAGCATGGGTCATGAAATGGCTCCTCTGTAAGCCGACTAAAATGAATACCTAGAGTCTCACATTTCTGTTGTCTAGTGACAAGCGCACATTTGAGCCAAGTTCTCCCTTTCTTAAGGTACTGGGGAAAAGTAAAGTGAGAGCTTGGCAGGGTAGAAGAGATAGGCAAGGCATGGAGGGGGTTGATGGCTCCAGAATCAATGAACTGGCAAAGAGAAGTTCACCTAAAGTACATTTAGCTGTTGTGGAGCTGTTTGGGAGCTCTCACTGACTGGATTTC